AAGTATTTTACTATCCATGTCATGTATGTGTGCCAAGTTGAAGAGTTGTTTTGCTTTTCAGTTGGCATCACATCACATGTGCTGTAGTCTATATACACAAGGAAAATAAACCAAAAAAACTGCGTTGCTTATTTTATATCTTATAGTTTTTGTCAACAGATTTCTGCTAACTTTTTACTGAGCTGTAAAATTGCTGTCAAATTATGGCTTATCGATCGATAAAATTGGTATAAAATAATTTTAAATGAGAAATGTGAACACGGTGGTTTGTTCAACCGTGACTTTTCAATAATTTTTGTCACAAAAACATAGATTTTGCACCAAATATATATCGCCAAATTTTGCACAAATAAGAGGGAGAAAAATAAAATATATTTTCAAAACTTGAGACGAAATAGTTTGGAAAAAACTAAATTTTTACCTGAGTTTGTGTCGGCCTTTTCCATACTTCCCCGACGAAAGCAGCCGAAAAGATTAATGAAAACACCACCCAAACGCCTCAATTGAAAGGCAAAACTCCCTAACCTGAAAACTATGATGACAACGATGACACTAAGCTGAAAGGTATCGAAAAATATGTAAAACAAAGGCGAAAAACGGCATATAACTCGACGAATAGCTTTGTACTGCAAAAAATACAAATATTGTTTTTTACACAATAAGCCTCGTTTCCATGTTGCGCGAAGGCGCGGTTGATTACTAAGCTTCGCAATTGGTCTATATATCAGACTAATTCAAATTGGAGAATAACGACGGGTGAATTGTTATGAATACTCCGTGTGTAAGGACCTTTGAACAACCGTAACTCACCCGTAACTCATACGATTTCTATCACATTTATCAATGGAGAAAATCGCACAAAAATTCGCCTGCTGTGTATAAACTGGCCATCGATGCATAAGAATTGCAAGAAGTAATTTAGGATTTTAGGTATTTAAACTTTTTTAGGTGTTTAAATATTTTGTATAAGACGCCGGCGACTTCGGATAGACGCGACCTCGTCGTATAAACAATGCTTGTTAGCGTCTTATGCCATGGGCTTGGCAGCCTCGTATAAACAGGCAACTAGCGTAGTATTTAGTTCGTGACATATTTTTGGACCAGGAACTGGTCCCCACACGCGGCTAATCTTGTTGTTGTTGTTGTTGTTGTTGCTGTTGTTGTTGTTGTTGTTGTTGTTGTTGTTAGGGGGTGACGCTCTTTAAAAAAGCCTAAGGCTCCGTCAATTTGCATCAGATCGCAATTAAACTTTGCACAACTATCCTTAGCGATATTCCCCATCGATTGACGGAGTTATAATTTTGATTTTTTGATTTTAAAGAAATTTACAAACAACTAAAAATTGTAGCGTAGTAATCCGTATAGATTATATTCAATATTAGTGTGCATAACTGAAGCAAGTTCAAATGGCTAAGGCTCCGTCATTTCGCACCAGATCGTGATAAAACTTCACACAACTATCTTGAAGGTTATTCTCTATCGACTTACGGAGTTAAATTGTTTGTGCTTATATTCTTCAGAAGATTTGCAAGCCATGTCAGATTGTGGCGGGAGGCAAATTTTAATATTATTAATATTCATATACTGTGAGCAAGCCAGAAGGTCGTGTATTTTCTTTGTTTTGCACATAATATACAGGGTGAATCAAAAAAAACGCAACCACTTAATATTCATGAATATCCTCTTTGTTCTACAACACAAAAGACGTTTGGCCCCTGGAATGCGAGAAAGCTTGTAATCATGTTCTAGCGGCACAATCGTTGGTAAACAAAGTCGGATGCGTAAACCAACGAGCTGAATTGAAAGTATTTAACGAGTAAAATTTTATTTACAATTTATCTTACAAGGTCGACAGTTAGCATTCAAGTTATCATGCACGACAATAAAAACTCGTTGTTCGGTTGTTAGCTGCACCGTTATTAGTTTAGCTGATTTGACCATTAGCAGTTGAACTGTACGATTAGAAGCCATTTTAAAATCCCAGGGGCATAAAATCTATTGAGCTTATAAACAATATGAATTTTAGAATATTAAGTGGTTGCGTTTTTTTTGATACACCCTGTATATTCATGACTATACAGGGTGTCCCAAAAAAACGAAAACTATTGAAATCACCCATAACAATACAATTGTTAGAGTTTGAATGCCTAAGCACTCTGTTGGGACCCACAGGTGTATAAATGTTTACCATACTCATTTTTATGCATGCATAAGATGCAGTAAAATTTGCTTGTTCGCAAAAATTATATTTATTAACAATATTTACAATTTACAAATATGGATAACAATATTTAAATGTGCATCTCAAGGACCATGACCTTCGACGTGTCCCCTTTCTTTAGCAACACAAAGCGTTTAGCATTTTATAAGTTGCATTAAATCCTCACGGGCTGAAATTCGTGAACACGGCATTCAAATTTTAACAATGAGTGATTTCAATAGTTTTCGTTTTTTTGGGACACCCTGTAGTATGACCATTGCGTTAAATGCGTTTCTCTCTAGGGCATTACTTATTTTTTATTTATTTGTTTAGGCTTTGCCCAGCATACATATACATAACTAGGGATCCAAGGATAGTGCAAAGTTTTCATGCCCTGTAATACCTAAGCAACCAGACGTTTTCCCGACATAAACATTTTGACTTATGCCAGTAAAAATATAATGAACTAGGTTAAACATTAATCAAAAGGAAATTACTCAAAGTACTCAAGTTACGTTAGTCGCGGATACTGTCACTTTTAAATTATAATTTTAGTTGCCCATGTAAACCGGGCGCGATTTTCTCGGTTTAGCAGGGACCGCGGAGGGGGGGGGGGGGGGCTTTAGCCCCCCCAATAATTTTCAAAATACATGTGATTCCTTTATAGCGATTTTTATATGGCCATAATAATACGAATAAAAACTCCTTATAGTAAGTTGTGTAATCATAATTATGTGTTTACTATCCGTGTTGGTGAACAATGTTTTCATTGAAGTGTTTACAAGAAAAATATAAACAGATAAGTATGGTCCTCCCCCCCGAGGGTTCACTCTTTCGGCTTCGCTAGCCCCCCCAATCCAAAAACTGCTCCGCGGTCCCTGTTTAGTCTCTTTTCTTCGTCAAACAACTGTGACTACATTCACTACATTTATATGATGGCAACAATTCATCCGTCATTTTATAAGTATAGCCGAAATAGTTGCGTTGTAAATAATGTAAATAAACCGCGGTCAAAACCGATCAGTCTATTTACATAACCATATGCGCGCAATCGCACTATAGCCTACCTAAATAAAATACAAAGCACTAAATAAATATAGCTCTATGAAGTTGTGCTGTAAGAAAACGAACTAAATAATATTAGCACTTAATTGTCAACATTTTAGCGTGAATTAACTGCAATACGTAAAATACAAAACAATCCTATGCTTCATGAAGTTTGTGTTGTCTAGCACTCTATTCAATGAAGTATACGATCTAAATAAATCGCGCAGTGTAATATTCGATGCGTGTGTTTATAACACGATGCGCGCATCAATGGATCAGTTCAAATATAGTGTTTATTACGTGTAGTAATAGTGCATGTCGTGTAGCACCTTAGCATACCATTTAACCTGATAATACTGATCGGCACTTGCTAGTAATATCGCCATTTGCTTCAGATTTGTACATTTTAAACAGAACTGTCTCGCTCCATTGTTTCTCTATAACAAATAGTAATTATTAAGCACTGTTATGGTTAAAAAATTTTTAACCTCCATAGTCGATTATACAGCAGTATCAATTGCTATCAACACATGTTAGATTCGTGAAGTACATTATCAAATAAGTCGTGTATATTATGTTATGCGTGTAGTTAAAATACGATAGTGGATGTGGACGTACTCTTTCTTGGTTCTGCGTTTAATGAGTTCACAAATTCTCGAACATTTGCTCGCTTTTCGCTTAAAATATTTCAAAACAACACTTCGTCGCTCCATCGCTCCTTATTGTATTTTGCGCTTCTGAATATTAATCGCGGCCTTATGCGCATTAATGCGCTGTTCAAGATGAAATCGCGTGTACCGGGGGGAACAACACACATATCATCGTAACGAATGTTATAAAATTTACAATAACCACAGTAATTCTTTCATATTTTGTTTAAATTGGAAAATGCTAAAAGAATATACAAATCAGAAAACTATATACTTGATCAAACAAACTTCCTGATACCCACCCACATAGGATCAAAGACGACAACAAAAACACTCCGCCCCCGGAGTTTACACTATGACTGACTGACTGACTGTCTGATGTGAATTTTCGCCACTCACCACAATACTGCAAAGTTTCACAGAAACTTTGCACTAAAAACGACTATAATGACAGTGGCACGGTGCACGCAACGCTACCTTCTCGCCAGCTACAGCGGCATAGATTAGGACATAGATGTGCAACTCAGTACATTTTAAGTGTCTTTGTATTGAAAGCAGATGAGAAAATGTAGAAAAACGACAATTTTAACATAACCGTTCGCAAGATTGCCTAAGTTCATAGATATTTGAAAATTCATCCTGGAGAGAAAGATTGAATCTATACTTCACCAGTTCCTGGTCCAATAGTACGATCGTACTTGTTCTAAAACGGCTTTATAAAAATTATGTTAAATGGCATTTTTACCATTCATATATTACCGAGCCAAGGTCATATGCGCCGTATGGCTATACGATAGTGTTTATGATATCTACCGCTGAAATAGCACGCAGAGCTACTGTATAGGTGCTTCGATGCTATACGCTTAGCGAACTTGCGATGTTAGTTATCGACCCCAATGTGACAAACTGTGTTGATTTGTTTTATTCTAACAGAATATGAATACATGAAGATTTACATTAATTATACGCAAACTATGACACATCACCACGATTTTACATAACAAACGTTCACATAGATTTTACATAACAAACGTTCACATAGATGATAGAACAAACGTTCACATAGATTATAGATAATACGTAAACAAACGTTAATGTCTTACCGAATGTCGATAATCCACAGAGTTCTATTTTACAAGAATTTTCCGAGTATTTTACGAATTTACCAAATTTAAAATGTAACAAAATCGAAACGTTCTTCCTACGTATATTAAAGGCGGAAGTGCATGCTTAACGCGGACACCGCTGTCCGGAAGTGTTGACTACCTCAACATAGTCCTCAAATTACGATGTACATATATGTTAATTATCTCTCCGCAAGTTTATTGAAATTTATGTTCCGCTTGTTTAAGTCGCTTCTTCCAGCAAGCATAACTTAGAAATTGGTCTCATCAACTACGATGTCTTCGTCTTTACCTCTGCCGTGCGTACCAATCCGTCTGCTCCATAAAACACTTTCGTAACTCGTCCCAAGTGCCAATATCCCCTGGGTAGAGTTGTATCCACTAAAAGCACCAAGTCGTTTGTTCTCAAATTTGGTTTCTTCGTCATCCACTTCTTTCTTTCCTGCAGGAAAGGAAGGTATTCGCGGATCCAACGGAGTGACCCAGAAGTAGTTAGCCAGAACTTGTCCCCTGCACCACTGTTTACGAGGATGAATTTCTGCGTCTTCGAATATGACGAGGGGCACCGCGAGACCTTGACGTTGTTGTAATCGCATTCGCAATCGTTCGGATCGTCGCTACTTTGGCATAGAGCCCGATAGAGGTTGGCTGTTGAGAATACCGGCTGCTTCTGCGAACACTGTACGCAGTGTTTCGCGCTTGACGAAGGCATGTGGGTGCCCAAGGATGGCTTTCATGGTCTTACGAACGCTTCAGATTAATCTTTCCCACACTCCTGACATGTGGCTGGCTGTAGGAGGTTGGAAGTGCCATTTTTTCAATGGTTGTGAGTGCCATTCCACTTTTTTCTCGCCCAGAGCTTCGATAATAGCCTTCTGATTCCATCCCTTCATAGCCGACCCTATCTCTTTCTCCCCACCTACGAAATTTGTACCACATTATCACTCCATATTCCATTGGCGGCGCCACCGGTGCAGACGAAACGACGCAAAGCTTGGATAAAATCGTCTGCTTCCGACATCTTCAATGTGGATTGCTCTTGTATTGTAGCAGACGAAAATACAACCATACACTTTCTCCGTACCGCGACCACGTTTGACATAAAACAGGCCGAAGAAGTCCAACCCGGTATACGTAAAGGGGGGTTCGTAAGGGGTGAGCCTGGCTTTGGGGAGGGAGCCCATCATCTGATTCATTGGAGCTTCGTTCCTCTTCCGGCATGTAACGCAACAACGCAAGATCTGACGAGTCAACACACGGGCGTTAATGATCCAGTAACGCTGACGGACCACAGACAGTACATGCTCTCGACCGACGTGACCTAATATTTGGTGACAATAGGTAATAATTAACGAGGCGATGTGATGTTGATGTGCCACTATCATGGGGTTGACGTTCTCCGAGGTTAAAGGTGCGTGTCTCAGACGGCCGCCAACACAAATAACGCCGTCCAGGAGTACGGGTGAAAGAATCACATATGCTATCTGTCTTGATCTTCTTTCCAGATCTCAGAGCTCATCCTGGAAGTATTGGTTTGGACTACTTTCACGATAGATGTCGACGCTTCCTTCATTTCTGTTAAACTTGTTTCCTTGGGAAATGAGGCCACTTGTGATTTAGCCTTGGTTCGTAGATGACGCACGAACCGCACTAGCCAAGAATAGGGAGGTTAAGATCGACTTCCGCTACGAGTACCGATACCAATATTCAGTCACGCGCATGCGCAGACGTAACAATCGTCCAAAATGTGATAACACCGGAAGTCGTGAGTACCGTTTTGGGGCTGAAAATGGAAGTGGATAGGTAAGCGAAGTACCGAATTATATTTACTGTATTATTGCATTTCCTGCAGTTTTTTCTAATAATATTATTTAGTTTTTAGTTGTGTAATGTTTCTGCTTTGTTTGTTGAGACTTAAGGATTGTGATTAGAGTTTTTGATGTGAATATAGCCGCTATACTCCGCCGTGTTTATTTACTTCTTACGGAAGTCACAATCTTAACGCTTTAAAGTTTCCGCGCTGCCAAACAGTAATACGTCATGTATTTTTGTATCGGTACTGGTAGTGGAAGTAAATCTTAACCTCCCTAATATCGGTCGACCGCAACCGAACCGTAAGTGCGAACCGCAATCGCATTGTTAGGTTATTTCTGGAATTTACTGTATTCTGTTGATACACTGGGTACTTGGACAAAAGTGAAATGTTGCCTCGACAACAATAGTTCGCTCATATGGCGCATACTAACCTTTCACTGAAATTGACAGCGGACCATCTAACTGCTCTTTTTATAAAAAGGACGCAGCTAACCATCTGCAGCAATAGCGGTTACCAAACGCTGATGGATCAAATTTAAAAGCAAATCCTTTTTTCGATGCTTCAAGTAAACAGGACTTTCTTGGGTCGGTCATTGTTACGAGCGCGGTCCTATAAATTTTAATAAATAACTTTTTAAATTCATAAATATTTAAGAATGCAAAATTAAAATAAATATAAACGAAAAATACTTACCATTATTACAAAAACGTATGAGAAACAATCATGCTGTGTGTAAAACTGTAAAACAATGTTGTATTCAAAAGGATTGAGTGAATTGACAGTCGAAATAATAATCTCCAACGTTTAGCTCGTCCAGTTAGAAAAAAAAGAAAGTTTTAGCACGTTGTTGCCACTGACCTGTAAATGCAATGATAGATACAATGAGCCTGCTGAACACATTTCAGAGATGTGTGAGTTGTTTGTTACCAGTGCTACGAAGTGTTCATGACAATTTATTTATTTATTTAATAATTTTGCCAAATAAATCTGCAAAATACAAAATTTGGCAGGGTTGCCACGACAGCTGCCTGCCAATCACCGCGCGCGTGGGCCAGTAACAGGCGGTACCCACACACAATAATAAGAAAACACAACTAAGACAACTAGCAGCGATGAAAACTTTACGTTTCATAAAAATTAAAACTTTTAATCTTATTGAACTCATAATAATTTATGATAGACGACCGGCGCAATTACCCGCCCCATTTACCCGCGCCAATTACCCGCGACCCGCGCCAAATAGACTCTCGCAAAATCCTAGTTAATTCTGAAATACACGACTCTGCTTGGACAATTCTGTCAATAACTGCAGTTAAAAGTTAACTAGTGTTTTATAAAACTGGCCCCAGAATATTATCTAGTAGTTTTAGATTTAATAATAAAAGGCAATATAAATGCTTTACGATTTAAATAGGGAGTAATACATGGAAGCGCGAAAAAATGAAATTTATTTCGAGTGTTGAGAATGAGACGAATATTTTCGTTTTTATTATAATTATATACTAAAAGAATTTTTTGAAAAGTTTTTTACCAACCATGCAAGGAGCGTATACTCCCAATGAAAATAATTCGATCATCAGAACGTTGCGAAACGGCTGTTCGGGTGCTGGTTGAGTTCGGCAACCGGTAGTATATTCCAGGGCAGCGGCAATTTTTGGACTTTTACTATCTGTATTTTATAATAAAAATTAAAAGGCGAGATGTTAAAAGTTCAATGCAAATTCGTATAATTATATGCAAATCACCATGTGGCAAGTTTGCTTGAATGCTGAGTGTCGCAAGTTTGGTTGAATGTCACTTTAACAATTTCGAAAGATTTGCCGTGAAAAAGACAAACTGAAACTTGATTATCTGTATTATATTCATAATACAATCAATCTATTACAAATCATTACGCTGCTAAGCCCTAAATGGTATATTATTGTATATCATAAACATGGAGCAATAGTTATACACTATTTCTAAATGTTATTAAAAAACGCCCACGATAAAACAACAACTTTCCTAAAAATACTAATTCTCGCTTATGTACTGCTTCAGACAAGTATTTTGTACTGTTTTCCATACAAATTTTTGTACAAAATCCTTATCATTCTTCATATAATAGACCATTAAAGGTAAGTAATGCTTTCTTCTCTTACAACAACAACTGAACCATTTGGATGGGATAATAATCGGGAATACCTTTCATGCTTACCACTGTCAAAAAGCGAAAGGATCTTCAGCTCCTCGCCTGCTTCAGGGTAGCGCAGAATGAAACAAAAATTAGATTTCCTTACCATGGTTAAAACCAATATTTTACAAACAACGTAGTGAAATGCCACGCTCAATACCTCGTGATCGTCTGGTACTTTTATTGTTCTCTTCAGACTTCCTTCCTTGGTGTATATCTCAACCGCCGTATGATCGCGTGTTGGTATCATGATTTCATTCTGCTGGGAAATACTCAATGAAAATCCCAAACTGAGTTCATGTTTAAAGTTGTACTTAAATTGACCCGTCTTGTCAAAAACATAGAAAAAACCGGGCTCCTGGAGGATAATATCGTTGTTTTCGCATATTGCGATCCTAACTTTCCGAGACGCATCTTCCGTCTGGAAAGAATCCAATCTGTTTTCTGCTTTTACATTGAAATTCTCGTCCAATATTGTCAACAGGAATCCGCCATTTAAGAACATGCTCACCACGTAAACATTGTCATTGATATCAACAGCAAGCGCTAGTGGAAAATAACGTCCAAATTCAGGTACTTCGACCCGGGTAAGTTTTCCTGTCTTAAGGATAAAGATGATGTTGTCATCACACAAAGAGAGAGTAAGAACATCCCCCTGACTGTTCACAGCAGATTTGTACGGTTCTATTTTCTCATCAAGAAATTTTGTGTTTGGAGGATAATAATTTAAGGTGGGCAATTCTTCTCCCATAGACTTTCTCGTTGAAATTTCATACCAATTTATTATTGGGTAAAAACTACTAGTAGAAAGTTCAATCGTTGGCATGCAAGCGGACACTTCAAACAAATGCCTGCTGCTAAATTTCCAAACATATTGAAATAACACATAGTTGATTAACATAACCGACTTGACGTTCTCCACTCGTTTAACTTTATTAAACAATGATTTCACTCCACCGTTTAAATACACCGTGAATACCTCTTGAATGGCTGGTAAGCTATGCAGCGTCTTCAAAAACGACAAACACCCAGTGATTGCGGTCTCAGGACTATCGAGGTGCTCCAGTATTTCTGAAACTATTTGTAGCTTCGCGGCAAAAATTCGATCTTCGATACTAAATGCCTCATTCCTGAAAGCAGTAGTTGCGGTCATGCGCGCTACCTCGAATCTTTTTTTTGCAGTTTTAAACTCTTCGCCAGAGTTTATTTTGAGCTTTTCCATAGCGCGGGTGAGCTTCACTGCTTGGTTGAAATAAACAGACGGAATATCGCTAGAAGGTTCATCCGATTTGTCCTGAGTTCCGCTCGCTTTCTGCTCGGGATTTGATTCATCAAGAGAGACATTGAGTAAATCTATTCCTTCCCGAAGGAAATCATAACTGGCGAGTAAAGTTGGTGTAGAAATGCCATCGATGTTAGACGTGATATCGTCTAAATCTGCTACGACAATCTTGCGAATTTCAGCATCGGCTACATCGCCGTCTTTGAGTTTGTCTGCCGTCGAGTCTCTGACCTTATTCCAGGCATTATAATACGCGTGTTTTTGACACACTTTGTGTCCTTGTAAAAGGCGAATGTGTCCTTGTAAATGGAAATTGGTGTAGTTAAAAATCATGCCTCATCGACAAAAATGTCTAATATAATTTTCATTTGACTATTTAAAATAATTATTGTTTCTATTATAAAGTATATGAAAACGCTTATATTATATTATTAAAAAAGGCTAGGGACTGACGGACCGTGCTTTGCATGGCTATGCTCTTTTTTATATGCTTGCATGCGTTGCAATTTCACGTTGTAATTTCCAAGATTAAGTGATTATTGAACCCAAAGACAATGTGTGTCCTTGTAAAAATTCCGTATTATAATGCCTGCCTTATTCCATAATAAACCAACTGTTGAACTAAGAATACTTGTCACAATTGATGACATACCGAGTTACTTTCTTCACCTAACCGAAGCTAAACTTTGACTGAATACAAGAAAATATGCCCAAGCAGATTCATTCTAGCGTTGAATTCCTCACGATCTTCTGGCTATGTTCACTATTTAATTTTAGCATATGGAAATTTCCAGGCAGCAATTTCGCTAATTTTCTTTGTCTACAATACATTCGTGGGTTATTGTACACATATTCCAGTCTCTTCATTCAAAAAGCTGTCAGCATCATCTTAGGATATTGTTTCTTTCAAAGATATTGAACTGCGATCAGAGAAAAAGACCATTTCAAAGATATCCCCGGATTTTGGTAATGCATGCAACTGATCATTGCGTGTTCATCATTTGAAGGACGCTGCGGGGGTCTTCAAGCGCTGTATCACATTCAAGTTTATCAAACAAGTTCCAGCCTTGTTTCAGCGGTACAGCGCTCATTGTGTTTTGCTGACACCCAGCTTGGCTACTTGAAAAGTAAAGAGTGAATAATCAATCTTTTCTATTATGAGTTGAAACAATCAAAAGGATATTTAAGAAAAATAATCGATTATGATTGTTTCAAAAGGATATTAAAAAATTATTGTTTACGTGTCTGATACTTAAATATAGGGGGAGGGAAGTATGTAATGCACAGGGAACGCGAGCAAAATAACACATATATGAGTAATAAAATACAACAAGTTTGCTTCATCCATGTTGTTTTAATACATTAATGAGACAAGTAAAGAATTTTGAATTACAATAAAAGAATTACACATTATATAATCATAAAAGAATTTGGAAGAAAATGGCCTTCTATCGAATTGGCCATAATGCTCTCATCCAAAAACTAATTGATATAGGAGTTAGAAGATCTTTAATTCCGTTGAATGGATTTTGAATTTTCTATCCGCTTCGTGAAGCTGTATCCCTGCTGTATATCCCTGCAAGTATTTGGGCTAAGACCCCTGAATACCACCAAAAGATAGCGCTTGAGAAGATTATTTAAATATTATATTCAAACCAGCAGATAGTTATAAGCTGCATTTGTATTATAAGTCAAAACAAGAGTCAAAAAAATAGGTTGCTTTATAATTGTTATCTCAAATTACTCACCAATAGCAACCATATACTTTACAAATTCCGTATTTTTTCGCTTTTTTTGTTCTAAAATGTCTGAATTATCATATTTATCCTTCTGTCATAATTCCGAATAATTTTGTGTGGGTAGGATGTACAAAAGAATCGCAGAAATAGCGTTTTATAAGTTCTACGTGCTCGGAATGTTGTCATATGGCTGGAAAATACGACACAACTCTATGACGCCCGGTCGGCGTTAGATCATATCGAACTAACGTACATGACGTCATAAAATTTTCAATAACCCTAACCGTAATTAAGGTAAAGCCAGAGATACTATTACATGAGTATATGATCACTCCTATACTGGGTATGAGGGTAACAGACATTTACACTTTCGTGTACATTTATAAATGTATAAATGTATCATCATTCATCGCCATTTTTATTTTATCATTTTTATGAACCAGCTCTAGAAAGACTTCATGTAAGACTTCTGTTATTATACTTCCGTTATTGCAAAATTTATGACGTCATGTACGTTAGTTCGATATGATCTAACGCCGACCATGACACCCTCCCACTAGAGTAATTTTGACCCGAAAAATCGATTCCTGACGTAAAATTGGACCAAGGGGTCATTTATTCGGCTTTTTTTGCCCGAAATGTGTTTCGATATCTTTATTATTGTGAAATATTATTGCCGGTGATGCGATAATTCATAAATTATCATCATGCATGCATGTTTATATAAAAAATCGGCAAAAATCTTCTAAAGGTACGATTTTGAGGCTAAAGATATGAAAAGCATACTAAATTTCCTAAATCCTAAACGTGGTTCACCAACATGCGCATCAGGTAGCTCATCTTCCGCAAGCGGCATATAATCCGGTATCCGGTTCATCAAAGAGATCATTTTGACTGCGTACAAAATTGTACAAAACGGCGGTTGCGACAATAATAGTTAAGGTCGTTTCTAGTTTCGTTTGTAGGCACGTTGATAAACATGGGAACATTCTGTTCCATATGCCAAACATTCTTTTTACCATATTTCGTTTTCGCATGAATATTATGCGCAACATTGTATCGGCGTTCTGATTGATTTTGCGGGTTAGCAAGAGGTGTCAGGAGATATTGGCGGAACGGATAACCGCTTTCATCCAGCAACATGCCATTTATGTCACCTCAAACTGTTAAAACCGAGCACAAAGACGACAGTTGTGAAAAATTCTTGCATCATGCACACTGCCAGGCCATCGGGCAACAATGTTTTGAATTGCTAAATTACGTCCACAGACAGCTTGCACATTTATGGAAAAGTGCCCCTTTCGATACCTAAAGTTCAATCAATATCTCCCACACTGACAACATTCAGCATATCGACTGGAGGAAAACAAATGTATTGAATGATTCTGTAAACGGGCAATTGCTACAGATACACGTTAGATGATTCTACTTGCTGATGGCTGCAAAATGGAAATCCCCGTCTTTGAGTTTGTCCGCCGTCGAATCTCGGACCTTATTCCATTATAAACCAACTGTTGAACTGAGAATATTTGTCACAATTGAAGTCATACCGAGTTTCTTTACTAAAGACGTAAGCTAATACTTACTGAAATCTTAATTTTGACTAAACAGGAACAGACGATAAACACAAACTCGTGCACGAACAATTATTGTGTCGATGTTGCGTGTGCTAAAATTGGTGCATTCCATCGTTTCAAGGGTTGGTCAAGTTTACAGTGTCAGAGTTTCTTTATCTAAGCTATATTGGAACAGGATCATATTCATTTGTTTTCAACTTATTAAGATTAGATGTGTTATCAAGTGTGTGATCACATGCATGAGCCTATATTTTTAACGGAAGATGGTATCGTTGTTATTGCAAACAAAATGTCCTCTGTTCTGAGTTGTGTCACCATCCGGTTTTCCGCGAGATGTGAAAATCAAACAATTCGTTATAATGGTTAAAAATACCGACCGAAATTAGGTTCAAATGTTGGTAGCGATGATGGTTGTAACTAGGAACTAAATTAATCGTTCCATATCGCCTACATTAGTTCCTTTGGCAGGTGTAAATATTCACTTTTACATTATTTATCTGATGCTATATAATTGATGGTAACGATTTTAGGCTTTGGTAAGAATGGATTTTTTTCGCATCGTTGCAAATGGTTGTAAAAAAAGAGTGGTGTTAGAAACTGTAATAAACGTTGGCCACATGCAGATAGATAGATAGATAGATAGATAACCTTGTTCGCTGCTTTTTGTAACACAAATTAAAGCTAATATGCATGGATAGATAATACACCAAAAAATGAAGATGGAAAATAAAAAGATACCGGGTCGGGATACTTTTTTAGAGCTAAAACTAATTGTATTTTGGCTTTATTTCCTTAGATTTTCCCTAGAGTCCTCCATAAATAGCATCATAAAGAGACATTTCATTTTGAAAAAGTTGAATTATATGTACATTGTGTAAGGGGACAATGTATTATTGTAATACCAAGTTTTATGGTAACGAAATATCTCAACATTGGATTTGATTCCTAGCGGGAGATATGCAATTCACAAAGTACCCACATACAAATGAATGCAGAATGAGTGTGTAAAGAATCAAATAATTCATTGTGATAAGCTGGTCTAAAATATTTGCACTTGAAATGTTTGGAAGAGTTAAGGCTGTTTTCCTGTTACGCGTTTTATGTACATACACGCACGTTAAAGTCTTTAGACGTTATAGATGTTATTTTTGAAAAAGCTAAGTAAATAAATCGAAAGAACTTAGTTTTCCGCATATTTCAGTATGCTCTAGTAGACCTAGATGTTAAATAATAAAAATTTCGAAGCGTTTAAAGTTTTCCGTGCGCGTACGTACTTATAAAAAACGCGTAACTGAAAAGCATTCCTTGTGAATAATTGGGAAACTGGATTTGTCTATAAAATAACTTTGAAACACGGGAACAATAAAAACATTGAAATCAATGCAAGTCAGGAACAAATTTATTAAAAATCATTACAATTATTATATGGCATACTAATTATACATACTGTACCAATATTGTATATCTATCTATTGTACATTTATTCAGAACTGTACTCAAACGAAAAATGGTATTCATCATCAGAGTGAAATTTTACGTATTTCACAGCTATAAGGATCATAGAATGAATTTCTTGAATTAAATAGATAATTTAGTTTTTTGTATTAGCACCAACTTCGTTATAATATCAGGCAACTAATTAACTAAAAAACAGCGATTATAATGATATAGATTATACATTATATATTACTTTAATATATAATAGTAGCGATTATAATGAACACCGTGTCCAATGGAACATAAACCTATCGATTTTTTTATAGCCTATTTAATATATTAATTTAATTTAATATATTTTAGCCAAGGCTATATGCTGCTATCTGGTCAGAGCTTTACCTAGAAGCTTATTGACATATTGTAGATTTCACATAACTTTTCAAAACGCAGTTGCGAAGTTCAGTGCGAAGTTCTAATGGGCGCGGGTATATTTATATTTTCCTTTTGTGCCTGACTGATTACGATTGTACAGTTTTATATGAATATATTAGTATACATGCACCTGCCCCCATGAAGTTAAGTTCCTGTATACCTGGCTGCCAAGTGCTGTTTAAAAAGAGAATGCTGCATGAGAACTATTTTTTTCTCTGAGTAAAACCTTAATTGAACTTTCTTATATACTTTAGATAGTTGCTGAAACGATATACTATAAACTTGCATCTCCGTTATACTTGGTTGAAAAGTTCTGTTATATATGAGATTGCTGAGCTCGGGCTTAACATTTAATTATTTAATTCAACTAGTTTTAGCCTTACGTTTAGTCTTACTTTTTAAATTATTTTTCTGCTTGGCACGAACAATGGCTTTTCGTTCTGAGCGCACTCTATCAGCTAATTGGCGGTAAGTAAATGTTTCCAACAAATGGGAAAGCCTAGGTGTCTTCTGCAAGGTCTCTACCACTTTTTTCATTACAACTGGTTTGGACGAGCGAAGGAGCTTTGGATGAGCTTTAAGGAGCTTCTATGGTTAGAAATGACGTTAATGTCCTTTTAGAACTATGTACCGATGGAGCACACTCGCTGTCACAAGTTTTAGGAAGATCATCACCTTCATCTGGGTTGTTTGGACTTTCTAAAATATAAGTGTTCAATTATTCAATAGAAAATGTACATATAAAACTTTTATGATAATCCTACTTTTTACAGTTAGTGTACATACTACTTTCTTTGCTAATATCATTGCCTTGTGAATCTGAATCTGTAAGATCTGT